TAGTCCTGTGCAGTGAGATTGTTCTCTCTGTATTTTACTCAGAGGAAAAGTGGTCCTCATACTGTTTAGAGCTGGGAGAATGGACCCTAGAGGTTGGAGAGAAAGTTTCATGGTCTGGATTTTGAAGAATTCTAGGGAGTGAGAATAAAAAAAAGACCTTTTCTACCTGTAGGTATCCTTTTGACATAGAGGGAATTTATTAAAACCAACCAATAGTCAATAGTTTTTTAGATAGGTTTTTTTTTGTCAATATTCTAATAAATAGGCTTTAGTTCTGCATTGCTCAGGTGTACAAAAGGTTCATTTTCTCTTCCCTGGTAATCTTAAGTGGAGGCACCTAGAAAGGAAGAATCCTCTAAAGTGTGGTGGCTGAAAAGCAAGCTATTTGTATGGCTCAATACAAATTATTGAGGACTGTATTTCTTTCCAAGCTGTCTGTTGGAGTAGTATTTTGCACAATTTTAATAAGCCTACTTGTAAAATAAGTTTTCTGGGATCATATAAGAAAAAGTTAAGCTTTTTTTCTAATGAGTGTATTTGAGATTTTGAAATGCTAATTGCATTGTATATTGGTAGAGGAGGTATATAATACACAATTTTTCCCAAATTTATTTGACCATGGAACCTTTTTGTCATACATTCTTACTAACACCCAGGGGCAGTGTTCTAAGTAGCACTGTTTTTATAATTCTATTGTAGATTAGTGGACAGAATAACAGGCCAGTTAGAAGAGTCTGCTTGCTGAAATGAAAGGGAAGAACTTTTGGTACTTTGTGTTATTTTCCTAATTCAAATGGTAAAACATTTCTCAAATACAAACGTGATTTCAACAAATTGAGTTCAAATTAGTTCACATTCTGTGATTCCTTAAGTATCAGCTTTATAAAGATTTGAAAAACAAAATAGACATCGTTTGGTTTTGCTTTGACTAAAATAACCTGTTAAAAATCAGTGATCAAATGTGTAGAACATTGCTCTCTAATAGAACTTTCTGCAGTGATAGAAATGTTTTCTGTCTCTGATATGGCAGCCAGTAGCCAGTAACCACATGCGGATATTGACCATTTAAAGTGTGCTAGTGCGACTAAAGAACTGCATTTTTAGTTTTGTAAAAATATTATTACTTTAAATCTAAATAGCCACATGTGCCTGGTAGTCATTGTATTAGACAATGCAGTCTATAGAATATATTTGTAGACCAGAACATTTTTCATACTATTTATTTTAAATTGATGTGATTAAAATTAAATTACTCTTTAGGGAGTATTTTTGGAAGGTTGAGAGTAAGATGAATATACTTCAATAATTTATATGCATGGAAGTCTATAGCTGCATGATTTAAAGAACTCTTCCAGTGGTTTTTGACTTTTAAAACCTACAGTCATGTGCCACTTAATGATAGAGATACATTCTGAGATATGCATTGTTAGGCAATTTCATTGTTGTGGGAACATCGAGTATACTTACACAAACCTAGATGGTATAGCCTACTATACACTGAGGCTATATAGTATATAGTCTGTTGCTTCTAAGTTACAAACCTAAACAGGATGTTACTGTACTGAATACTGTAGGCAGTTGTAACACAATGGTAAGTATTTGTATATCTAAACATATTGAAACATAGAAGAAGTACAATGAACATATGGTATAAAATATTAAAAATAGTACCCTGTATGGGGCACTTACCATGCATGAATGGAGCTTATAGGACTGGAAATTGCTCTTGGTGAGTTCGTGAGTGAGTGGTGAGTCAATGTGAAGGCCCTGGATTATAGACTTTATAAACACTGTATACTTAGGCTATACTAAATTTATAAAAAATATTTTCTTCAATAATAAATTAAACTTAGCTTCCTATAACTTTTTAAATTTATAAACTTTAAATTTTTTTTGACTTTTGACTCTTTTGTAATAACACTTAGCTTAAAACACACATTATACAAAAATTTTTTCTTTATATTCTTATTCTATAAGCTATTTTATATTTAAATTTTTTTTAATTTTTTTACTTTTAAAACTTTGTTTACTAAGACACATACACTCATATTGGCCTAGGCCTACACAGGGTCAAAATCAGGACATTACTAGGCAATAGGAATTTTTCAGCTTTATTATAATCTTATGGGACCCCTGAGATAGATGTGGTCCATTGCTGACCGGAATGTTATTATGTGGTGCATGACTGTATACATACTACTAGCTTGATATCATGAGCATAAATATTCTTTTGTAGTTCATTCTTTTTTTGTATATATAACTAACATTACACTTTAAAATAATTGAATAGGTTTTCACATTCATTTTTAAGAAATGAGATGATAATATGAAGAAAGGAGGTAATCTGTGAGTAAGAGACCTCAGATTTAGTTCCATTTGCTATTGGCATACTTGGCAATATTGAAGCAGTTACAAAATTTTTGTGGCTATTAATCTATAAGTTAGAAATAACAGACAACCCACAGAATAGGAGAAAATTTTTGCAAGCTACACATCTGATAAAGGGCTGATAACTAGAATTTATTTAGAACTCAGGAAAATCAGCAAGGAAAAATCAAACAACCCTATCAAAAAGTGGGCAAAGGACATGAACAGAAAATGTTTCAAAAGAAGACAGAATAAAGGCCAACAAACATATGAAAAAATGCTCAACATCTCTAATTAAGGGGAAATGCAAATCAAAACTGCAGTGAGATATCACTTATCTCCACTTATGGCCTTTATCAAAAAGTCCCCAAACAATAAATGTTGGCCTGGATGCGGAGAGATAGGAACACTCCTACACTGCTGGTGGGATTGTAAACTGGTTCAGCCTCTGTGGAAAGCAATATGGAGAGACCTTAAAGCGATACAAGTAGATCTACCATTTGAGCCAGCAATTCCACTACTGGGCATCTACCCAAAAGATCAAATGACACTCTACAAATGGGACACCTGCACTTGAATGTTTATAGCAGCACAGTTCACAATCACAAAGGTGTGGAAACAACCCAGGTGCCCATCAATACATGAGTGGATTAATAAAATGTGGTATATGTATACCATGGAGCTTTCCATGGTATACATTTAATAAAATGTGGTATATGTATACCTATTCAGCTTTAAGAAACAATGGTGAGATAGCACCTCTTGTATTTTCCTGGATAGAGCTGGAATCTATTCTACTAAGTGATGTATCTCAAGAATGGAAAGACAAGCACCACATGTACTCACCAGCAAATTGGTACTAACAGATCAACACCTAAGTGGACATATAGAAATAACATTTATTGGGTGTCAGGTGGGGGGAGGGGGAAGGGGGATGGGCAATATACGTAACCTTAACATTTGTACCCCCATAATATGCTAAAATAAAAACAAAACAAAAAAAAGAAATATATGTAAATATCCTTTGAAAAAGAGCTGTACAAAATCAAAATAATGTTATAAGTGTTATTTTTAAAGTAATTATAGAACATGTTTAAAATTTGACTCATTTTCTGTGAATATATTTTTGCATTTTAATGATTATAATTGTTAATCATTTGATTTTTGGTAAGGGTAGATAGATCCTTCTCACTTGATGGAAGGATAAAAGCATTAAGTTGTATAAGTTCTCAAAATAAAGGTTTGACTAAAATAAATTGTCATAATTGAACAATTTACAATAAGTTTATTATTAAAGATATGATTACTTGGGGGGACTAAATAATTTTCATAGTAGTTTGTCTTAAAAAGGACTGAACATAGGAGATTTGAATAACTAATGGTTTTTCACAATCAGCTTAGTTAATATATTGATATATCTTATCCTTACACTTGCCAATTGAATAAAATATTTTACTCTCTCAACTGACTAAACAACTTAACTGTATTAGTGACGTGTTTAAGCAGTTTATTTCTATATTTATTAAACTAGCATTCAATTGTCATTGGTTTTATTTCTTAGTATTGTTGTTTTTAAGAGATGGTAATTATTTTAAAAGTTGTCCACAGCATTTTGAACTGTATAAAGTAGAACTGATGATTTCTTTGTAACAGCTTATATATTATATATAGTTACAAGTATGGCCTTAACATAAATGATAGTTTTTTCAGTATATAAGAAAAAAGAATTTCTAAATCTATATATACTTATTGTGATAATCATTACCATTTGTCTTTAAATATCCTTTAATACCCTTTGTCTTTGTTTTTAACCTGCCCTAATTTACATTACATAAGAATCTTCTCATAAATTAAGAATGGTATTTTAATATTGTTTGATTTTTAATACAACTACTAAATGGTCTTACCACTTCATGGCAATATTTGGGATTTAGTGGTTTGTGTTACATTTAGGAGTATTGTCTGTTGGTTGAATAACTGAAAATGGTGTTTTTGGTAAAAATGTGTTTTCTGACATGTAATGCAGGTTTTTTTTAAAGATGTGTTACTTTAGTTTATATTTAGTTCATTTAGGTTATAGTTATTTCTATGTTTCAATGTTATATTTTTTATAAAAAGATGCCTGTTTTTCAAAAAAGATTTCATTGTTAATGCTCTTCCTCAAGTACAGGAAGAATAGTACAATCAGTCCTCCATCTAGTTAGATACTTAATATATAGGTCATTTATAATACCACTGTATCTGAACCAGTTCTGTTCATCTTCTGTCCATTGAATTTATTAGAAATACCATTTCATATTTAGTTTGACTATTCTCTTTAAACACACCACTGTGCAAATCTTCACAAATTTCTCTGAATTTGATAACTTTAAGTTATTAGTGTTGTTATGTGAAGATATCAGATGTTTTAAGCAAGATGACTCAGAGACATCTCAGATTGATCATGTCTAATTCAGAATATGACACAGTTTTAAACATTTCATGGAGTCTTGAAAATCGTAGTGTTTAAAGGATTTTAGGTTAGTTCCCTAACTGGTATGTGCTAAGAATTTGAAATATGTTTTAGTTGCTTGAGATTAGGGAATAGAGACCAAATTCCTTATTTTTTGTATTCCTTTATTTTTTTTATTAAGACACCTACCTGTTGGGCAGAAGAGGGAGCAGAAAAGAAGTCACATCAGCGTTCTGCATCATGGGGGAGTGCTGATCAACTAAAAGAGGTAAGTCATTTCTGTTTTCAGTCTATAACCTGTTTGGTCCTAGCAGATTACCTTACTATTTTCTGAGTATAATGGTACTTGTTAAATTTGTCTTAACCTTACCTCTTTCATAGTTTAAGGGTTAGGTTCTATGTTTTGATGAAGAAATAATGAGTTTACCTTATTTGTGTCCTTCATGTCTTATAAATATTTATTGTGCACCTAATTAGCTTTAGCCTTTCTAGAATGGCATCTGATTTTATGTAATAATCTCTGTATTTTGTTCATTTTAGTTATCTTTTCTTCCCCTTTCAGCTTATTTTTATTAATAATTTATAGCAATCAGAGCTAAATATCATAGCTTTATATAATACAATGGTAGGATAGTGTTCTTTGTTTCTAATAGCTTGTTTCTATATCTAGCATATTGTTGCCCTTTGGGAACCAGAAGTACAGTAGACCCCATGTCTTTTAGAAATAGTTTCTATGATCTATTACCTTATTTATTATGAATAACTTGAAGTATTATATATTTTATGTATATTTTGTATTATTTTTACTGATAGTTTTATCTTTTATCCATCTAAATTCCAATCTATTTCTTTTTACAAAATTACAGAGACTTAAGAGTTAAAGGTCATTTAGTTCACCTCCTATATAAATGCACCTTAAAAAGTGGTCATCTAATCTGTTACAATCATTCTTAATGAGGGGAACTCATTACTTTACAAGAGAACAAGTTCAATGGCTTTAGCTTAAGTTGTTAAATATGTTCTTTTATATATTGAACTCAGAATTATACCACTTAGTTCTGACTGTTCCTTCTGGATTAATATTGAGTAAATCTACTTTAAGTATTTGAAAGGCTAAGAGTAAGTTACGTTCTTTTCCAGGGTAACATCGACATTTTTCTCAAAATTTTTTCATATACCATAGTTTCATATACCAGACATCTTAGTATCATTTTCATATAGTATGAGTTGTCAGTATACTTCATATACCGTGATGTCTGGACTAAATAAATATAGTTCATTAGCATAATTTTGCCTATGACTATATTACATTTTTAGCACCTTCTTAAGGTTAGGAATATAGAGAACTCCTCAACTCTTTCTGTCTACCCTACATATACACACAAAATATTTTTTCCCAGCAGAACAGAAAAGGAAGCAGAGTCTATTATATCTAGTTTAAAATAGCTATATGTCTATGCATAGAATAGGAATAACAAAAAAGTAAATTTCCACTTTAATCTCAGAGTTAAATACAGACTCAGATTATTACCAAGATTTAGTATAGTTGGACTATAACTGGACTACAGCAATACATGATACACACTATTAAAAAGAATTGACTGGCCAGGCACAGTGGCTCATGCCTGTAATCCTAACACTTTGGGAGATGGAGGCAGGAGGATCCCTTGATGCCAGCAGTGTGAGACCAGCCTGGGCAACATAGTGAGACCCTGTCTCTACAAAAAATAAAAAATTAGCTGGGCATGGTGGCATGTACCTGTAGTCCTAGTTACTTGTGAGGATGAGGCAAAAGAATCATCCAGGCCTAGGAATTCGAGATTGCAGTCATCTATGATCATGCCACTGAACTCCAGCCTGGGCAACAAAGCAAAACCGTGTCTCTAAAAAAAAAGAAATCCTCCCCCACCCTCGCGAAAAAGGAATGGCTGTGAGATTTTATAGCTCTCTCCAAAAAGCAACCATAAAGCTGGACAAAACTGTCAAAACAACTGTTTCAGTGCTCTGGAAATTAACCAAATGATTTGAGAAGCTTTATTCATGAAAACTAATGAACTTAGGATAAGAATAGCACAAGTGTGTGGTCGGATGCTACTCCTTTTTCCCTCTTTCTTGTCCCCAACTCTGTTGTGTGGTATTTCAATCAGAGTGGGACAGATCTTGAAATCCAGCAGCTTTGCTACCCTTGCTGGAGAGAGATCACTTGATATGGAACAATATAGGTTAAAATTAGTGATCTTGTTGGCAAATGAACAGAGACAGCCAATGGCTGTACTAGTCTGGGGTTGTAGTCCAGTTTGGGGCAATCAACAGACTCCTGGACTAGTGGGATTTAATAGAAAGTTTTGGGAGGTGAGACAGTCATGAGGGCTTGGTAAGTTTCCCACATTTCCCAGGTTGACTGGAGGTTGTGGACATGCACAGAAGAAGAACAAAGGGGGCCCACAAAATGTCTTTATGATGTTGTATTTAGCAGACAAAGACATCAAAGTAGCTATAATAAGTATTAAATATGTTCAAAGGACTAAAGGAAACAATATTTAAAGGATTAAAGGGAAGTGTAGTACTACAGGGACTCAATGAATAAAGAATTTCCACAAAGAGATAGTTATTCTAAAAAAGAAGCAAACAAAATTCTAGAGTTAAATAAAGACAGTAACTAAAATTTTAAAAATTCATTAGATGGGCTTGATAACAGATTTGAGATGGCAGAAAAGTCAGTGAATTTGAAGATAGGTCAATAGGATTTATACATTCTGAAGAACAGAGAAAAAGAAGGTTGAAGAAAAGTCAAAAGAGCCTCAGAAGCCTGTGGAACAGTATACATGTATTCCCAGGAGAGAAAAGACAGTGGAGAAAAAAGAAGAAGAAATAATGGCAGAAAACATTGCAGATTTGGTGAAAGAAAAATCTAGATTCATAGAGTTCAACTAACCCCAACTAGGAAAACACAAAGAGAGCCATAGGAAGAAGAAAGTGATTCATCACACATATAGCGGGCTAATAATACTTTTAACAGCTAACTTTTTGTTAGGAACATTGGAGACCATAAGGCATGATGTATCAAAATGCTAAAAGAAATTAAAATTTCAACCAAGTATTCTATATCCAGCAAAACTAGTCTAAAATGAAGGTAAAAACAGGTATTCCCAGATAAAGATTGAGAGAATTTCTTGCTATTAGACTCTCTTATGAGAAATACTAGAATAAATCTTCATTCCAGGCTGAAAAAAAGTGACACCAGATGTTAATGTGAATCCATAGGAAGAAATGACAAGTGCTAGGAGTAGTAAATATGTCGGTAAATAAAAAAGAGTTTATAACACTGTTTTGTTGGGTTTATAACATATACATGGGATATATATGACAATAATAGCACAAAGGATGGTTGAGGAAAAGGACTTGGAGTATAGTTTGTATTTTATTAGAATTTATTGGAGTTCAATTTCTATTTTCCTGAAATTAAGTATTATTTTGATATGGATTATTATAAGTTAAGATATAATCCCTAGAGCAATTGCTAAATTGCTAAGAATATAACTCCAAAAATATAAAAAGTACAAAATACCAGAGGAATTAAAGTGGTACACTGGAAAATATCACAAAAGAAAGCAGTGAAAGATGAACAGATGAACAAAAAAAGTGACGCAAATAGAGAAAATAAATAGCAAAATGGAAGATGTAAATCCAGCCATATAAATAATTATATTAAATATGAATGGACTGAATATTTTTACTTAAGAAGCAGAGATTGCCAAACTGGATAAAAAAGCAACACTCAACTATATGCTATCTGTAAGAGACATACCTTAGATTTAAATAGATGAATAAGTTGAAAATAAAAAGAAAGGCAAAGATAAAAAACAGTAACAATAAGAGCTACAGTAGGTATATTAATATCAGGCAAAACAGACTTTAAAACAAGAAGTATTGCTGAAAACAAATAGGAACATTTTATAATGATAAAAAGATCAGTACATAAGGAAGACATAAGTCATAAATGCATCTAACAACAGCATCCCAAAATGCATGAAGCAAAAACTGTAAAAGGAGAAAATAACAGTTGTGGGATAGTAACGGAGATTGAAACATCCCATTCTCAATACCTGATTGAACAGCCAACTAGACAGAAAATCAACAATGTGTACTAGAAGACTTCAACAACATTATCGATTAACTTGACCTAACTGACAGTTGCAGAAGAAACATTTGAAACTAGCAGAGGTTGGTTCATTAGTTTTAAGGAAAGAAGCCATCTCTATAACATAAAAGTACAAGGTGAAGCAGCAAGTGCTGATGCTGAAGCTGCAGCAAGTGATCCTGAAGATCTAGCTAAGATCATTGATGAAGATTATTGGACTAAACAACAGACTTTCAATGTAGATGAAACACTCTTCTATTGGAAGAAGGTCCCATCTAGGACTTTCATAGCTAGAAAGAAAAAGCTTCGAAGGACAGGCTTCAAAGGACAGGCTGACTCTGTTTAGGGGCTGATGCAGCTGATGACTTTAAATGGAAGCTGGTGCTCATTTGCCATTCTGAAAATACTAGTCTTTCAGAATTATGCCAAATCTACCTATGCTCTATAAATGTAACAACAGAGTCTGGATCACAGCACATCTATTTACAACATGGTTTAGTGAATATTTTAAGCCCACTGTTGAGACCTACTACTCAGAAGAAAAGATTCCTTTCAAAATACTACTGCTCATTGACAATGCGCTTAGTTACACAAGAGCTCTGATGGAGATGAACAAGGAGATTTATGTTGTTTTCATGCCAGCTAACAACATCCATTCTGCAGCTCTTGGATCAAGGAGTAAGTTTGACTTTCAAGTCTTATTTAAGAAATACATTTGTAAGGCTATTGCTGCCATATATAGTGATTCCTCTGATGGATCTGGGCAAAGTAAATTGAAAACCTTCTGGAAGGGATTCACCATTCTAAATGCCTTTAAGAACATTGTGATTCATGGGAGGAGGTCAAAAAATCAACATTAACAGGATTTTGGAAGAACTTGATTCCAACTTGTAACTAATGACCCAACCTCTGAATTTTGAGGAGTTCACGACTTCAGTGGGGGAAGTTACAGATGTGATAGAAATAGCAAGAGAATTAGGATTAGAAATGGAGCCTAAAGATTTGACTGATTTGGTCTAATCTCATGATCAAACTTGAAAGGATGAGGAGTTGCTTTTGATGGATGAGGAAAGAAAGTAGTTCCTTGAGATGGAATCTATATGTGAAGAGGCTGTTGAAATGACAAC